TATATATATATATATATATGTGTAGTATATATATATATATATATATATATGTATATATATATATATATATGTGTGTGTGTATGTGTGTGTGTGTGCGTGCGCGTGTGCATGTGCATGTGCGTGTGCGTGTGTGTGTGCGTGTGTGTGTGCGTGTGCGTGTGCGTGTGTGTGTGTGTGTGGATACATCAATTGAACCCCTACCCTCAACATATACCCTACACACTGCAAGCACACATATAAACATATATCCTGTACATACTAAAGACGAACAATACTATCTATTACTTACCCAAGACCACTCCGCCCATCACCTCCGGGCCCTGGTGGAACTCGTCGGGATGGATGTAGCCATACTGTGGTACTACAATCACACTGATCACCCTAAGCAGTGCAAGTATGGCGTACAGCACCTTTAACGCCATCGTGTGTGTACCCATTACACTACACCTCTGATATTCATGCAGATAATATGTGGTGTGGTGTGGTATGGTGTGGTGAGGTGGGTGAGCGTGATCGTAGCTGCTGTTTTCAGGTCTCTTGGTATTTAAATAGCAGTATTGAACATTTGAACAACCACTCTTGTTTTATTTATTTATTTATGAATTCATACATAGAATATAATGATTCAGCAGGCTGTCCGTATATCTCTCGAAAGTGAAAGCCCGCCAAAAGTGGTATTTTTAATAAATATTTTCAATTTTATTTTTAAATACAAAGTACAAACTGTGATTATTTACAAGCGATGACTCATCAACGTAGTTGTTTTCTTTTCTTGTGGAAAAATTATAATCGAAATATAGACGAACTTGTTGGGTGACTTGGGTCACTTCTCTTCTTGTTGTGGGTGAGTTGAGCGGCCTTCTTTAGTCTTGTTTGATTTTGAAGGCTTGTTATGTATATACAACATATCAAAGTCTATATGTAGAGCGGCTATGGTAAATACGATAGCTAAGTAAATATCGAAGAAGAAAATAAGTACAATAAGAAAGATTCCACAACTTGATCTCTGCTGACGATATAAATACACCCGACACGTAATTGTGTACATGTGCACACACATTATACACATTAAACACACGTGTGCACACCCACACTCATATGTGTGCACACACATACATACACTTGTACACACACTAATTGATAATTCTATTAAGCATAAAAATAGCCAGAATAATCTTGCAGCATTAACTGGGCATCATGGCGTTCTTCTCCGAGGTGGAGACCACGTTCGATTTCAGCGCAAGCGCAACTGGTGCATCTGCTCGAGGCACGCCCACAGGACCCTTTCTGGAGGCTTCGGAGAGCATACTGCGCCTGTATGGTATGTATGCTTAATCTTGATGACATGTGCATATGATCGGCGTGAGATGTATTTCTCATGCACGCAGGTTGTATTCCTGATTTAATTTGAGTATAGTTCGCAGCTATATGATTTCATGTACTTCGACTACTCGATACTACCATCCACTTACGCAACCCTTTTGGTACATCTCTCTCACATCGTCCACAGATAATCTCGGCTCGGTGGCGTGGAAACTAATTCGGAGCGATTTTGAAGCGCAGATGAAGGTATGGATCCGGTGTTTAAAAAATGGAGTGTACGTGTGTACAACTATGAGCTCAACTTAGGGGCTTATATTATTGTGCGAATAGGTACTTGAGTGCATGTTTCTATCATTTTGTTGGTTCCTATATGAATTTGGGTACATCTCTATGTGCATAAGTGTATCGGTATCTTTTTTCTCTTGTAGAGGTGTATGTACTGTTGCGACATATGTAGGTGGGCATGCCGTGTGTATCAGTTATGCTCCGAAGTTGACGCTTCCACTGTGTCTATCTGTGCCGCGTATGCACTGCAGAGCCCGTTGTTACGCCCCTATACCTCAACCCCGATTTTAGATATTTATATGTATTTAATATTATACAGATATATGCATATGCATATATACATACATGTATATATATATATATATATATATATATATATATATATATATATATATATATATATATATATATATATATATATATATATATATATATATATATATATATATATATATATATAGTTATGTAGTGTGTG